CATCAACTTTATTGTCCCATCATTCTTCCAATTTTCCCATTGGACCATATCCTCTTAACATCATCAAATAGCCCATCCCATATATTGAAGTAGATTTATCCACATCGAAATCTTGAAAATACGTACTTTCGATTTTAAGCTAAAATCCTGGATGCACACTGTATGGAGGGGAAGACACCCTTAATTTGGTTTCAAGACAAAAACTTGTTTTTATTTCTATCTTTTAGCTTGCTGATTGGTGTAGCAACTGGTCGGAGTGATGTATCAGACGATGAATATACACGTGTTAAAATTCACGGCAATCATGCATTTTCCTTACTGAAAGTTCATTCATTATCTCATGATAAACGTTTTGTACTCGTTCGTGATCCTCATAGTTGTACAAATTTTGAAGATAAACATGTTACACGGGAATCATTAGATAGTTTACAAAAGGTACAACGAGCTGAACGTCGATCCGGTTCGTGTTGGATATCATGGCAGATGTTTTTAAAATATTTTTCATCAATCACCATATGTCGATGGCGTGCAGATATGTTTGATGTTCGAGCCGACGGTCAATTTACATTAGATGCTAGTCAACCGATAACGGTATATCAGTTTCATTTACCAGCAGTCTCACAAATCAATATTAGTCTATATTATCATAAACAAGATCGAACACAACGCGTACTTCACACACAATCATTTTTATTATGTGATATTGATCATACCAATGGGAAAACTGGTGAATTGACTGCAAATATAAGCGGCACACGAGATGGATTTACGTCTTGGGATGGATCACTACGAAGTGGAAATTATGTTTTAATTCCATTTTCAACTAGTTTCTGGTCAAAGAGTGAAGATACATCAGCATTAAACTATACTGTTGTGATTCATGCATCAAATACATTAGAACTAACTCCCGTTGAAGAACCAGTTACTTACTTGTCTGATTGTTTAATAGCGGCTGTTATTAAAAATGCCGATAGATCAACTAAGGTAAATAATCATACTTTTTTCTATAAAATTAAATTAATGTACTGAAATAAAATGTAAACGCAGGCGAAACAAAAGCGTTAGAAACGGTACGAAAAACGTATTTTTTCCCAACGCGTTAGCGAACGATTGTTAAAAGAGCCGTTTAAACGAGTTTCTGAGTCAGAAGGTTAAAATAACGCGTTTGCTAACGATCGTTAAGTTAACCGTCTTCTGGCGTTTTTGTTGAACGCGTTTACACAAAGAAAACAATTCAAAGTTATATCATTTTAACGTCGTTAGAAAACGCGCTCAACAAAAACGGTTGATTCAGCGATTGTTAGCACACGCGTTATTCTAAAGTTCTGAACGATAAAAAACGCGTTTTTCGTGCCGTTTCTAACGATTTTTACTTCAAATTGAAATTTTTCGTTAAGCACTCATTTTAATGCTCTCCATTAGTTTGTTGTCAGCTAATGTGATGTCAAGAGGATATGGTCCAATGGGAAAATTGGAAGAATGATGGGACAATAAAGTTGATGATTCAAACCTCTGTATCTTCTCTCTGTTTTTATTTTTGAATCATTTCAAAAGGCGTTAATTAACGTTTTCATTGTCATTCACATTCATCGAAAAACGTGTTCTCTAATACGTTGTGAAATTCCGAAAAACGCGCTTTCAAATGAATAGATCAAAAAATGCGTTTTAACGCACAAAAAGCGTTGGTTTTAAAACCTTTAACACGGTTCTTTTTGTCAGTTCTTTTACCCCTAGGGATAATCACTTCATTAAAATTGACATATCAACAGTATAAACTATTCATATATTGTGTGATTCTAAGCGGAGCCCGTTTTCGCTAAGTTTTGGGTGAACAACAGCATAGGACTCACACAATACAAAGTCAGAACCTCATCAGATATAATCGTGCAATAAACCATAAATAAAATGCGAATAAAAGAACCCTCAGAGCTCTACTACGTCTCATTTTACAGAAAAACGCGTTTCTAAAATGTTCAAACGTTTAAAACTGTTTTAACGCGTTGTATCCCATAGAAAACGGGAGTTTAGTAACGCGTTTCTTTGCCGTTTCTAACGACTTTTTTGTGCTTGGGTTTACACAGTGGGCGATCAAGAGGACATTAGGCGAAAAACGGAAACTTTTTCAAGATTCAAATAGCAGATCATATAGTTCAGCTTATACTCGATTTAAGTGACATTGGAAGTTTTTTCCGAAGCGCCATATCGACGCGAAAGTTTTTGTTGCAAAACAGACTGATGAAGAGAGAAAAATTATTCTTGGCAAAATAGAATACGATAGTTATAAAAATCATATGCAGTTTGAAATTAGAGCTTTCACTCTATCTGTTCGTAAAATTATCACTTTGTAGGTGAAATTATTTTTGTGAGATGCTCTGGAACCCGAAAAAAATTTATTCTTCCTGCACTAGGCATTTCCGAAGAGCGGACTTTTTTCCCGAGCTCCAAATTGAACGAAACTTCTGAACGAATATTCTGCTATTAGCGCAAATTTTTGTGGACGGATTTATAGGTTTTCTACAAAACCGTTGTTTTTTTAGGTAAATTCGACTTTTCTCGTTTAAAAAGCAACTGTATTAAAAAATAATAACATATTCGTAATCAGCGCACAAAACTGCGTTCTATGATGTGTAATTTGTAAGTTTTTTTGTAAAAATCTTTTCGATCTAACGGAATCCTAGATCTGAAGCATTTTGGCTAGGCGTTTTGATATTTATTTTAGCAGCCGTGCAAAAGGCGACAAATACTGGTTTTACAGGTTTTTAGATATGCTCTTTGCAATGGTGTGGTTTACAAAGTTTAACAGTATTCTTATGTAGGTTTTCTGGAGTTCTAAGTCTCTAGAAAACTCAGAAAATACATTTTAGAACTCTGTAAACCACACTATTGAAAAGAACATATGTAAAAACCTATACAATCAGTATTTGTAGGCTTTCGTACTGCTTCTATAGCATATGTTCCACTTGCTTAGTCAAAGTGACCCACTGTGGTTTAGGCTCGTAACATTCTTACGTGTATACCATTGACTAAGTATTGTAATTGAATTCAATTAATTTTTTGTCGAATTTTTCATCTCAGAAGTTTTTTCTTTTTAAACATTTACATCACTTATTTTCTATGTTTTTCATTTTAGGAGAAAGATTACAAATATTATTCAACGAAAAACGGCTGCATGGCATTTGTGGCTGAAAATTCGTCACAGCAATATTTAAACGTCACAATTGATTTTGAACAAGCCCGGCGATTTTCAACTTCAAGACAAGCATTTTTAACTATCGATTCATTACCGCCGCGTACTCGTCAGATTCTATTTGTGGCCGAATGGAAACCTCAAGGAAATGGAACATCAAGTATGAATTATTCATATCTTACGGAACTTTGTAGTCAAAAATCAGAAACTATACCTCGTCTAATGGAAATTGATATCCATCAACCGCGTCCCATTTCACTTTAGTGGAAGTCGTAGTTTTTCATTATGAAATGATCGACTATTTACTATCAGATATTTCCTATCCCTTTTTTTGCTATTATATATGACTGCAGCTTGATTGTATTATTTCATGCATATGACAGATAAGACAATACAATACAAATAAGAAACTTTTTTTTAATATATCTAAGTCTGTGTGCTTCAAAAATTCTATATAGTTTATATGATGAAGGCGAAACAGGACTTTAACGATTAATGTACACATAATTTGTTTGTAGCAGAGACTGCTTCTGTGTGGCAGATAAGAAAAATATAGCTCTGTCGAATAATATTGAATTTCTGGGACAATGTTGTCACCTCTAAGTAACAAAGTGCAATCTAATCATATACTCCTGTATGTTGAGTCATATTTTGATACCCATGCACCGTATTCAGTGAGACAGGTCCGACAATTTAAGAGTGCACAAATTAAAATAAAATAACTTGCTTGCTTTATTTTGATATTTTTGGCTGTCGTTTTCCGCACCTGCTCTAATATCTGTTGTCTCTTATTAAATATAGTTCACGTTTAGATATTTGTACGCCGCAAAGAATGAGTAAGATTGATATACAACAAATTGTTCCGAGTGAGAATATAATATCACCAAGATCTCAAAAGAATATGCCGACTTCTCACAAAGGAATAGAATTCTCCGGCTTATCCAGCTATCGGTCCTCGTTTTTTGCTCTTTTTCAAAGAACTATGGCAATAAAGTTAGAAAATAATTTTAAATTGAACCTAGATAATTAAGTAGATTAAACATTTCTTTACAACATGAAAAGTATCTCGGCTCTAAACATTGATTCGCTGTTGTACAAACAGCCCAAAAAATTGATTTAGGGATTATCTGAAAAATGTGTCTAAAAGAGTGAAGACGAACGAGCTGGTGAAAATTGAACAAGTATATCAGTTTGTAGAAAATTATTTGCTCTACAAGATGTGATAGCTTGTTAGGCTCGAAACTATTCTGATTAATCTGTATTAATCAAAGAATAAC